ATTATGTCTTTCTCTCCTCCCCCCCTCTCTCTCTCTCTCTCGCGCAATTAAAAATAGATTTAAACAGAAAATTCAGGTTTGTCCATTTGACCAGAATTCTAATTAATGATATTACTCTTTTTTCCAGTAGGCAAAAATAAAAACGCGACAAATTTTATTGTGACATAAACGACAGATCTAAAAATGTATACACGAAAAAAAGGTGCAACTGCTTGTTTTCCAATGTAGCTAAAAATAAAACGCGAATTTTACTGTGACATGAAAGACACATCTAAAAATATACACAAAAAATGTATTAAAAGCATTAACCAACAGCAGTCTAATTAAAAATAATCTGTTTAATTCAATAACAATATTAATGAAACAAATAATATTTTATTAAAACAAGAACGTAACAAGAATATAACTTATTTTATTATTAATAGATACTGTTAAAGAATTAACATGATTATTTTTAAGTTAAACTACTGTTGACTTATATAATATATCATTTTTTTTTTTATATATATAATTTTTCCTATATATATTTTTTCATTCTTGTGATATATAAAGATAACCATTTTTAACTACAAAGAGTTTGTGTTAAAGTAATTTAATACTAATATATTCATGCGCAAAAATTATACATCGTGTTAAATACAGACGGATTTCTATTTATTACATTCTGCAGCCATTCCTTGGGAAAAGCATTCGTGCAGATGGCGATAAACATCTTACAAATATCGATGATTTTATTAAGAGCTCGTGCTCATATATTTCTTATTTCAGATGATACCGCTCATGTGTCTCTGCGCTACCATGCTGGTCGTCGTGCCCTCCATGGCCTACCATAGGTTCTTCGTTACTATGATTGACGTTCAGTAAGTGGATTCTATGCTCTTCCGGACATTAAAGTAAAGCAAACACTCTGTCTCGCGCGACAAATGTAAAAATAATATATCATTTCGCAAAACGATCGCGTCAGCAAACCCTGGAACTTGAACGGAAAATATAGCGCGGCCCGTCTATTCCTGTAAGCAATCTACATTCTATGTATAACGCCGATGTGTTAAGGTCACTGTGTCTGCCGAGAGCTAACGACCTTGGTATTGCCACGTTTTATGTCTACTTACTTACGAGGAACTTTTACTTATACTGTGCAATTGTCAAGTGTCCGTAATAAAAAAAAATATAAATATTTTTATCACCAGGATTAAATAAAAACGGGAAATAACATTCCTCGTCTATTGTTCTTTCGCATTTGCAATTTTTACGCATTTGTCAGGATTTATGTAAATCACAAAAACTGCACGTGAGAATAAATATTTGTATCTTTCCAAGTATAAACGGATAATATTATCGTCTTTTAGGCCGACCAAGTATCAAAGATTCGAAATTCCATCGGAACCGAAATTTTTCGACCTGCGGAATCCTCGTAGTTTGAAGGTGAGTTCGAAAAATAAATACATTTTTATTTCTGACATTATAAAAAACATTTAATAGTTACTTTTGATATTTTCATAAAATTTATTTTTCATGAAATAAGTTTTTAGATAGTATTCTCGTTTCATCCAAGCTGTGTGTAGAATAATCGATAATCTCATGAGAAAAGAAAAACAATGTATCCGTCCATGCCCTGTCTCTCGCAATATCCATAAATCTCCGACCGTTCGCTGTTGCCACCGAACGCGCTTACATTTAATATCTAGACATGGATAAGCGCCAATATTTAATCAATTATTATGTCTGATACAAAACATTCAGCTAAAGTAATTAATTAAAAGCAACATACACGTAATCTGTAGAATTACGTCACTTATGATGTTTGTTATTATAAAACGAGATTAATTTTGACAATAATGTCATTATCATCCTTAACCTTGATTAATTATTTTTACAATTATATTAATTAATTGCGTATCGCGTTATAGGTCTCTATATTCGCTTATATTCGGCATCGTTAAATAATTTGTGTTATGGCTGTGTGTCACGAATATACTGTGTTTATCGCGTTTAAAAATCTATTACATTGTTTTATTCCGAGAGTCTTCGTCTTCTTAATTAATAGATTACAAGATCGTTTTACGTAACATAATTTAATTCTTGATCAAATGCAAAATAAAAGTGCAACGCAGTCGGGTACTGCAGTATCTTTGATAGAATTATTTTGTCTTTTGCTTATTCACATAATAATGACAATTGTCTTATCATGAATTTTGTCGTCGCAAAGCAATTAAGACTACTACGATTTTAAGATATTTACAAATGTAAATTAAATCTGAAAATACAAATCTGAAAATAATTTTGATGAACTATCGAAATTATTATTATAGCTCAGATTGGTAAAATGTTAAAACTATATGTAGCTCCTCATGCTTGAGATTCTTATGCAATTATTTCGATGGAATAAAATTATTTTCAAATTTACATCTAACTAAATTTTTAAAAACTGGAACAAAATTGTCCTTTCCATATAGTGCAGATTCTGCGCGCGCTTTATACACATCCGATACATCCCTTCTTTTCTTTCAGTTAGAAAGATATCCCGTATATCGTGAGTAACAAACCAATATCCCATCTACGAGTAGTACTAGCGTAGACTCGCCCATCTTGCGTCTCGCATGTGACTTGAGAGATATGTACGAAACTAAGAGAAACTATGGTCGTTCCGTCGTGTATATCTAACCGGAGATATACCGTGCCGTCGCGATGCCTTTTCCCTCAGGATTCCAGCGTCGTAACGCGTCGTACATTCACCGCCAGCACCGACGGCGTTGCGGCCGTACAACGAGGGTGCGCGCGGGGAAAAAGAGAACGGCGAGTGGACGGGACAGCGGGGTGCGCTGTGTAACAGCGGGGTGGACGGTCGGAGGAGAGCCATGGGGGTTGCGCGTTAGCCCGGTTTGGATATATTGCCGCGAGCGGCATGGTCGACATGCGCGCGACGAAGAGGATGTAGGGCGGCGAGGCGGGTAAGCATATAGGGGTTGGATGGAGTAGGATGGAGTGTGGCGAGGGTGGAGCGGAAGGTCTGGACGAGCGAGAGAAGAGAGGAGAAAGAGCCAGGAGGGCGAAACGAGTGAGTCGTTTGGGGTTGGGAGTGGCGGCGGCGGCGGTGGCGGCGGCGGCAACAGCGGCGGTGGGACGAAGTGGGGGCGCAAGAGAGAGTGGGTAGTTGCCTGTCGTGGGGCACAACGCCGACGAGAACGTGCAGCCGGTGGATCAATACACCCCTCCGCGTTCTTCTCGCCGTGTGGCTCGCACCATCGCACGGCTCTCGGCGCCGCTCGCTCGGTCATGTCGTCTCCCGCGATCTCCCTCTTCCGAGGAAGCCGTGATCGGCTTCGCCGAGGAAAATGTCTTATGATGTTTCTTCTCTTTGTGCTCTCTTCGTCTCCTTTCTCTCGTCATTGAAATTTTTTTCAACAGAACGTCATGATTATTAAACTCTTCCTTTTTTTTTACGCTTTTTGCCCTTACCGCTGTGTTCGTTCTCACATTGAGATAGTACATCTCATTTCCAAGGAAGACGTTTATTGCCGTCGATATTGGAAAATTCTCTAGACAATTTTTTATTGGAGAATAAAAGTTGCAGGTTAAAAAAGGATGTCTAGAGCGCGATACATCATTTGTGTTTTCCTTGCGATTTATTGCATCAAGAAGGATGGTCTTTTCCTCTTCAATATTCGAAACATCATCTCTTGAAATCAGAATTTTTCCAATAAGGCGATATCTTCGGATTGTTTTCTATTTAATCTAAAGAGAAAAT